CCCCCCCCCCCCCCCCGCTCCCGCAGTCATACTCACCTCTTCGCCATGCAGGCTCCTATGGCCTCGTCCGTCGGGCGGTCCACCAGCTCACCGGCCACAGTGTCGCGGTCAAGGTGCTAGATAAGACGCATGGCCGGCTGCTGGAGCAGGAGATCGCCGTGTGGCGGTCCCTGCGGCATCCGCACGTGGTCCAGCTCCTGGAGGTTCTGTCCAGTGAGAAGCGCATCTACCTGGTCATGGAGCATGTCCCGGCCGGGGAGCTCTTCGATTACCTTGTGGTCCGGGGCCGGTTGCACGAGTGCGAGGCCCGGTACCTGTTTGCGCAGCTGGTGTCCGCCGTGGCGCATTGCCACCATCGAGGCGTGGTGCATCGGGACTTGAAGCCGGAAAACCTGCTCCTGGACGAGCATAACGATCTGAAGCTGGTGGACTTCGGCTTCACCAAGGTTGTCGAGCCAGGCCAGCTGCTGGACACCTACTGCGGCAGCATTGCCTACGTAGCCCCGGGTGCGTGTCCGGGCGTGCACCCCCCCCCCCCACACACACATGCACATGCACGCACATATTGCATGCACTTGCCCCACCACAGCCCGATGCTAATGCCCTCCCCCGCCCCCGACAAATTACACAGAGGTCGTCGCTCGGGAGAAGTATTGCGGCCAGTATGCGGATGTCTGGTCTCTGGGGGTCATCCTGTTTGCGGCGCTCCATGGGCGCCTGCCCTTCAGCGACTACTACACAACCGAGGCCATGATTCGGGACCGCATCGCGCGGGTGGACTTCACCTTCGACGCGGACACGGCCACGGCCGCAGCAGCCGCCGAGGCAGCGACCATCGCCGGCCGGCCGGGGCCAACCCCGCCCGGCCAAAGCCCCCCCCCGTCGGACACCGTGGCCGAGACAATCGACCAGCCCCCGGCCCTGTCCTCGCAGTCGCCATCACAAACGCACCCGCCCCCTGCCAAGCCCTATACCCAGTATCCGAGCCATCCGCCGCCGGTGTCGCGCCTGGCCCAGGACCTGATCCAGCGGATCCTGGTGCGGAACCCGGCCCAGCGCCTCTCCCTGCGGGACATCCTCGAGCATCCCTGGCTGTCACTGGAGCGCCGCCGCCCGGGGAACTTCACCGACACCCCGTGCTCCTGCTTCACCGGGTCCTGCGACACCATGCGAGCCGGGCCGGCGGGGGGGCCGGCACCTGTGCCCGGGGTCCCGGGGGCGCCCGGGCCCCCGGGTGGCGAGGATTGCCACCGGCCAGACGTGGTGGCGGCCGGCTTCAGCCCCGTCATGTCGGCGGAATTTGGTGGCCCCGCCAGCACCAGCCCCACGGCCACCGAGTCGCCCGCCCAGCGGGACCCGATCACCATCACCACCGGCGGCCAGCCATCGCCGCCGCTCGGCTCCGAGTCTTGCCTGGCGTCGGAATCCGAGCCCGAGCCCGAGAGCCCGGTGTCCCCCTCGACCGGTGGTGGCGGTGGTGGTGGTGGTGGCGGCGGCGGCGGCGGCGGCGACGGCGGCCCGGTGCCTGGGGGCGGCTGTCCGGCGGGGGCCGACCCTGCCATCGCCTCCCCGGGGCATGTCCCCGGGTCGGGCTCGCGACCGCCGCTGGTCAGCTTCGATCTGATTCGCATGCCGCTGGCGGATGCCGACTTCCTGTCGCTCATCACCTCGCCGATAGACAGCATGTTCCGGGCGGAGCCGGGGCCGGCCGAAGTGCGCCCGGGAGCCGCGCTCCCGCCCATCCCGCTTCCCGGTGCTTCGCCGGTCACGCCGGCCGCCACACCGCCGGCCACGACCCCCGGGCAGCTGGAGTCCCCGCCGCCGGCGTCCCCGGCCTTTGCCGGGGCAAATGCCGCCCCGGCCGAAGCCCGGCCGGCAGCCGGTGGCCCGGCCCCGTCCTTGCCTCTCGGTTCGCCGGTTGGGACTTTCTTTTCGGAGCTGGCGGCCGCGGCGGCGGCCGGCAGCGGCGCCCACCCGGGCAGCAGCTCCTCCCCCTCCGGCGGAGGGTCCGACTGCCCGCAGGCGCTTCTGGAGCAGCTGCCGGAATTGGAGCGCGGCCTGCTGCTGTCGCTCAGTCAGCTGCTAAACTTCCAAACCCAGGCCCTGGTGAAGTCCATCCGCGCGCACGAGTGCACCCCCCTGACGGCCCTCTTCTTCCTCCTGCGTGCTGGGCACCTTGAACGGGCGGCGGCTGTGGCCATGGCAGCGGCTCCGCCACCGGCGGGGCGCTTGCTCCCGCCCGGGGTCCCGGCAGGGGCGGCCGCCCCGCCGATGGCCGCCACCGGCCAGGCGCCCGGCCTGGTCATGGGTCTGGGGCCCGGCTCGAGGCAGCCCTCTGAGGGGCCCGGCCAGCGCCTGGTGCCTCCTTTCCCCTCCTCTCCGGGGGTGCCCCTGGTGGCGGACAGCAACCTGCCGGGCTGTGCCATGCCAGCCAGTGGCTTGGCCCACGCCGGGAGCATGCCATCCCCCCGGTCACCGGTCAGTGGTGGGTCAAGCCCCGGGGCAACGGGCAGCCCGAGCGGCGGCGGCGGCGGCGGCGGCGGCGGCGGCGGCGGCGGTGGGGGCCTGGCCGGCGCCACCCCCGGGGCCCTGCTCATGCCGGCGCCGCAGCCGCAGTCGCAGTCGCAACCACAGCCGTCGCAGCCGGTCGGCCCATCGGGCATGGCAACCGGGGGGCGACGCTTCTCCAACAGTAGCCGGCCGCGCTTCGGGCCGGCTGGGCCAGCCGGCCCGACTGCCGGGCCAGCTCCCCCGGGGCCGGTTCTACTTGGCCCAAGTGGCACAGGGGCTCCCCCGGTTGGCCCGAGCGCATTGCTCAGCGTGTCGCCCCTGCCCCCGGTGTCGCCCTTGCCGGCGACCGGCAATGTGAACGCCACGGCGACCGGCCCGGGGTCCGGTCTGTCTCCACTGCCCGCAGGGGTGGGCAACTTGCTTGGTGGCTGGCCGGCGCCACATCCCGGCATGCCGCCGATGATGCCGCGCCGGCGCCGGAGTCTGCCGGTGCATTTGGAACGCTCGGCGCCGGCCTACGGACCCGGGGGCTTCGGGCCCGCGAGCCTGACAGGAGTAGTGCCGGGTGGCTCTGGTCCGGGTGCCGGCGCACCGGGTGGCCCTGGTGGCGGCGGCAGCGGCGGCGGCGGCGGCAACGGCGGCGGCGGCGGCAGCAGCGGCGGCAGCGGCAGTGGCAGCGGCGGCGGCGGTGGTGGTGGCTCCCAAATGGCCGGCCCGCCTAATGCCTTCTTCACTTCCGGCTATAGTTCCATCCTCGGGGGGTCCTTCACGTCATTGAACGGGGCATCTGGTGCCGGGGGCCCGGGCGGCGGCGTGGTCGGGCCCGGAGGCGGTCCTGCCGGGGCCATGCGCCGGTCACCCAGCCCGATGTCCATGTCCCTGGTTGGTCCTGGAGGTCTGACTGCTGTGGGCCCGGCAGCCCCCTCGCCCGGGGGTGGGGTCGGCGGCGGGCCGCTGATCGATGCCTCGGGCGGTGCTGGCGGCGGGCCCGGTGGCCTGCTTTCCGCTTCGTTGTCCCTCTCGCGATTGGAGTCCCTCTCGGAGGAGGATTCCTGCCCGGGCTCCGGGGTGAGCAGCGCCGGCGGCACGACCCCGGTGGCTGGGGCCGGGCTGGCTGGCACATCGCGCGGGTCCAGCCGCGGCAGTGGCATGCCCTTTGCCGCGAATGCCCTGGCGGCCTCCCCGGGCCTCGGGGGCGGGGAGTCTTTCGTCGGGTTACGGCGTTTCTCGGTGCCGACGGCCACGGCGGCCGCCGCGGCTGTCGGCCACTACTCCCGCGCCGCGGCCGGAACCATTTCCGTTCAAGTGGCCGGCTATGGCCCGGGAGTGGATGGCGCCCTCGCCGGGGTCCCGGGAACTGGCGGCATCGCCATTCCACCCTCCCCAGCGGCTGGGCGACACTATGTCCCGACGCCGGTGGCCTCGATCCCGGAAGACGCCGGTTCCGGCAGCACCTCGCCATCGCAATAGGCGGGAGGCGGCCGCACCGTTGTCGCTGTTCCCCGGTTGCCTTCGCTCGCCATTTCCCCGAGCTCCGGCCTTTCCCCCTCCCTCTCCCCCTCCACTGCTGCACGTGCGTGCTCGTGGTACCCCCCCCCCCTCCCCCCCCTCGGACGCCGGTCGCCGAGGTGCGCGTCCTTGTCCTTCCCCCCCCCCATCCACTCTCGCCCCCTCCGTGGCAGTGAGGTCTTGCCGCCAGTTTTTGTGCAGAGGCCTGGCCCGGAGGCGGTGTGTGGGCTTCCCCTGGGTGTTTTCTATTGAGGAATTGCCCCCCCCGCGCACGCGCACGCGCACGCGCACGCACGCCATTGCGAATATGCCTTCGGCGTGTCGTGTGTGTACATGCGTGTGTTTGCATACATGGATGTGTGCGAATGCGTGCCGCGCATGTGGATGCGTCTTCCTCCAACCCCCTCCCTCCCCTCCCAGCCACCGCCCGATTTGCCGGTCCCTGGCCAGATGGCGACAGCGGGGACCTCCGCCCCCCTGTGCATCCCTGTCGCTCGTAGATGAGATGGTGTACAGCGCCGGAGATCGCCAAGGGGAAAGCAAGAGCTTCCTCTCCTTCTTGGATCTTCATCACCTCTCCGCCTGCCTCTCCTGGGCCTTCTTCCCTCCCCCTTTCTACCTCTCCACCCCCCCTCCGATGGCAGCACGCCGGCCCGTAACGCGTATCGGGGTGGTTCTCCCCCTCCCTCCATCCCTCTCTCTCTCTCTCTCTCTCTCTCTCCTCTCATCCATATGTCCTCCTTTGCGAGCGAGGTGATCATCAGACACGTATCGTCGCTCTGTCTAGACACGTTCGACCACCGGCGCTGCCTCCCTCTTTTCCCTCTTCCCTTGCGCGGTGCATCGCACACAATGCACAATCCAGTATTCTCGATGCCATTTTGCCTCCCCCCCCCCCCCCTGGGGCCAGTGCCAGGGCATACCCTCAGAGCCTCCCCCTCGGTGTGCCTTCACAAAGACACAGCCAGCGAAGATGAGGCACACCTGGACGGCACCTGTGGCATCTGTCGCCCATCTCTTGTGAGGCCAAATTGGCGCTGAGGGGGGACGGAGGGCGAGGTGGCTGCGCGAGGCGTGTCCCGCGCTTTCGGGCATACTCATCGGCTGGACTCAAGTCGTGAGACTGGGCGACACACGGCCAGCGTTGGTGGCGGCTTAATCAGGATCAGCTACACCCTCTTAACCGAACGAAGAAGGGGACCCCGACCGTGCATGCTCATGCGGGTTGACCCCGGTCCAGCCGGGCCGGAGGCCAGGGGCCGGCGCGCCTGGCCGTCCTGTTCTGACAGAGTAGCATGGAGCGGCTGAACCCTCGGAGCAGTGCTGCTGTTGTGTGTTCGTTCGGCCCCTTTTCCCGGGGGGCGGGGGACAAGCGCGGGCCCGGGGCCGGGGCCGGGGCCGGGGTCCGGGGGGGGGGGGGGGGGGGTCTTGCTGTCGCCGCAGACAGCGAGCCATGAGCCACATGGGCTGACTGAGGCTGGGGGCAAGAAAAGGAAAAGAGCCAGCCTCAACACGTCAGTCTACCCTCCTCATCCTCGGAAGGCCTGCCCCGGGGCTCGGCCCCCTTTGTTTGTCTCTCGTGCCCTCGTGCCCGCGTGCCCGCGCGCGTGCGGGCGTTTCCGGGCGCCGGGGGGGGGGGGGGGGGGGGGGGGGGGCACACAGACCGCTCCACAGGGCGCGGCAGTTCACAGGCGTAATATACCGGAAGTTGCGGAAGGGATGCCAGCCGGACAGCGGGCTCTGATCGCTGGTGGCGCGGGGCATCCCCCCCTCCCCCCCCCGCGGGGGCAAGTGAGGGGCGGCCGTTTCTTCGGACAAGCGCACGGCATCGCTTGGTCTGACTCTGGCGCGCGCGCGGCCTCCGTGTGCACCGATTTTTTGTATTTACATTAGGAGTGGGTTGTTGCCTCGTGGAATGTCGAGGGGCCAGAAGACCCAGGGCCGGTGACTGACAGTGCCTTTCTTCCTGCGCTGGGCCCGACCAGCATGTACTTTTTTGTGGGTGCTCGGCCTCGCACGGGAGCTCAAGTACGTTTGCCTGGTGGCATCCCCCCCCCCCCCGTACACTGCTTGTGAGTAGGCAGGGGAGAAGCGGGCACGCGCGAGGGCGGGCAGCCACTTTTCGCATGTTGGTGCATAGATTTCCGTGCTTGTGCCTGTGCCCGTGCTTGTGCCGGTGTCTGTGAACGTGTTTATGCTGGTGTCTGTGAACGTGTTTATGCCGGTGTCTGTGAGCGGGGAGAGTGGGGGCAGGGGGCGGGAGAATGTGGCCCCAGTTGCAAGACATTGGGAGCGCTGGAGCCGGGCTCGCCGCGCCGGTGGCAAGGATCAGTTGGCACCCTGTGGGGCGCGGTTTCGAGAAAACATCCCGCCCACCGGGGGCGGGGGCGGGGGGCGGGGGGCGGGGGGTGGGTTGTGAGTGGGCGAAAGGGATGCGCCTGTGGCCCCGGGCGGGTCCTGGTCCCGGGCCGGCCTTGTCGCGGCCTGACGGCCCGCCCCCGAGGCGCGGGCATGCACGGCGCTCGAGTGCAGGACCTTGCGAAGCGCCTGGCGCACTGCGCGCCTGAGACTGCTCTTCGGGGATGAATATGTGCCCCGGCTGGGGGGGGGGGGGGGGCCGCCGCTGTTATTATTGCAGAGCGCAGGGGTCTCTCCCTCTGTCTCTGTCCCTGTTTCTCGCTCTCTCGGGACGGCGACTTGGCGGGCCCTTGCAACGGGCGCAGTGATGGAATCCTCTTTTCGGCTGCCGTGTTTGTGCTCCCTTCCTGTTTCTTTGTGACCCCCCCCCCCCCCCCCTCGCCCACTTACATCCTGGGCATGGGGACTCGGGGCGGCGGTGTCGTCAAGAACTGCCTGCTGCTCAGGCGCAGGGCGCGGCCGGCGCACCCACACATAAACGAAAAGATACGCCAAAGTGTTTCCCGCCC